TTGGCAAATAACTCCAATAAACATACCAGAATCTTTTTCTTCACTGTCATGTATGTCGGAACTAAAAATTATTTGTTCTGGCCAATATTCCCTCTAATCCCTCTGCATCTTTGAAAAACTTGGTGCATTATCTCAAATACTTTTACTGCCTAGCTCAAACTCAATTTTTAGAATCTAGTGGTTTGATCTGCAACATTTAATTTTGTTGGTACATACATGCAACAATCATTGGAAGTTAATTCATGAATTTCTCCAAATTTGTGTGACACAAACTGCTTGTAATTTCTTCCATCTCCACGAATTCGATGTCTTTCAATCCAACCACAAATAGGATTTGCCTATTTTAAATTCAATTTCTTGTTTTACTGTCTACCTACCTAGGCTTCTTCACTTGCGTCACAAAATACATGAATCTCACAGTTTTAAAGAATAGCATCGGGTAATTTTCAGTTCTTCAATTCGCTGTAGATCCTTTAACTATGTTTTTCAGTTACTAAATATTCTTTCAGGAATAGAGTCGTCTCATCCTATACCAGTTCGCCATATTTTCGCGCTCTAACAAGCAGACATGTTAGAAATCCGAGCGGGTCGAAAACAGACCTCTTCAGGTAAATTTCCTAATTTCAATTTAAAGAGAAATTAGTCGATTTTAACATCTCACCATACTCCAAGTAGGTACTCTATTGGTTACGTCTTTACTTGAATCTTTTTGACTACCTACCTATTCTTTGAATATCCAAACCTCTCTGTTAATTTTCCAGAATTTGATAGCCAGCCTACAATATTAAACCCCCCTCATGATGTAAATTGATAATTTCATCTACTTTTTTGATAGCTTCATATTTTGTGCTACAGGAATCTAGGTATTCATCAACATACAAATTCTCTTCAATATCATTAGCTAAATGGGAAAACTTTTCCGATTTTTAACGTATTGTGTAGCACTTGGTGAAGAGTCGCCCCAAAAATCATAACCTGCATTTCATACTCATTAACTTCTTGATTCAGGTCTCCATTTCCCCACAAAAATCTTTGAGAATGGCGGTCTTCTTTTTGAATCTTTACTTGCTGGAACATCTCTGGCAATGTCACCATTAGCCCATTCAGTGGCGCATCCAGAGTGTAGGTCTGGGGGGGGGGGGGGGTAAGCAAAAATCCAATACACGCTTACCTACTTACCGCCGGAGGCAGCTTACCGCAGGCTCCCCGAAAAATTTATTTTTGGGGGGTGTCACGACCAAATTATTACCCATAATTTAGTATACATAGTTTACAATCCAAAAATCGATGTTGAGAAAACATGGATGTTTTTCTATCAATATTTTCTTAACATCGATATCAGCTTTCGATGTTTTATCGATACCGAAACATTGTTTTCAGTTGGATGAGCATCCCTAGTTGTTAGATGTAGGGTAGGTAAGGGCCGAATCTATAGTCATTCCTTAGGTTTTCCTTGAACAAATTTTGGAGGGGGGAAAAACATGAAAAACGCAATATCTCGAGAACGGACCCCCTTTGCGACCTAAATATGACGACCCGAGAGCTTTCAGCCCAAGTTGGTGATGTATTTAGCCCCCCATCGATGGGGGGAATGAATTTTCAAAAAATCGCTGAGGTTGAACCGCTGCTCCGATCGAGCTGAAATTTGGTACGCATATAGTGTAACGGGAACTCTATCGAAAAAAAATACGAAAGGCTCCTATCTAGAAAGCAAAGTCCCTTGGGCAGCCCCTAAAATTTTTTTTGGGACCGATTTAGACGGGATTTGGTAAAAGGGGTCTAAAAAAGTTGAAATTTCAAGTTTCAGTCCTCTACGACTTACCGGAAAGGTTTTAGCCCCTATCCCCCCAATTTTGAAAAAGATCGTGTAATGGGGTATACGCGCCCCGCATTTAATTTTCCGAATTTTGAAAAATTAAATCAGATAGAGGAGCAAAAAAAACGTCGAAAATGTATCTAGGCGTTTTTTGCCCCGACGACGCTTCCAAAGTCAGCAAAAAAATAAAAAATATTTTTCTCTTAGAAAATTTTGGGGACCTGACATGGCGCCACTTTTCCGCTTATAATTTTGGTGATTTCGAACCGATTATTTCGAATCCGGTTTCTATTGAAAGAGCATTAATTTACCTACAAATTTGTTTCATATTGATATTCCAGGTTGTTTCTGTCTCCGAGATATAAGCCGTCAAAGATGAGATTTCTCTGAAAATGTATTGAAAGATTTGAAGTCGATTTTCTCAGAAAGGTGCTCCGTGGAGGGGTAACTTTAATAAGCTTTTTTGTAGTTTCTAATGAAATCTAAATATTCAAGTTGCTAGGATGGCTAAAACTGAAAGTACTTTTCAGGAACGTTCAAAGGTCGTGAGTTTAGAATGGACACATGCTAATTCTAAACGGTTAAGGGTCTTGAATCAAGGCCTCCTTGAGGTTTGAGGAAACCTAAAGAAGCAACTATAAATTCGGCTCTAAGGGCCGGTTTCTCAATAGCAAATCACTACCGGGTTAAGCATAACTCTATTGCAACTGGACACGTAAGGGCCGGTTTCTCAATATCGAGTCTACTCCGGGTTAATTTTAACTCCAGGGTGAGCTTGTCCAGTAGGAGTTGAAATTAACCCAGAAGTGAATCGCTATTGAAACCGACCCTATGTGTCGCGGCGCCGAAAGACAGACATTTGACGTCGATGAAGATGACCAAAGTAAAAAAGCGCTGCTGCCATATCTCACAAAAACTTACTGCCTTTAGTAGTATTTTAATTGTTTTCGCAATATATTTTTTTATATTTTCAGTAAATAAAACTAAAACTTTGGGTGGATTAAAAATTTTCTAGTTTTCTGGGGGGGGTAATTACCACCATTACCCCCCCCCCCTTATATGCGCCCCTGAGCCCATTTCATACAGAATGGATTTTCAGTACCTAGCTCTAACCCCTATTTTATTTGCTAATCCAGGATGTATCAATGTAACTGTAGATCCCTCATCTAGTAAAGCATAAACTTCAAATACTCTATTATTGCCATATAATTCAATTTTCACTATTCTCAGTGGTACAGCTAAATTTGAATTGATGGTATTTACTATCAAATGCTGCCTGTTACTTGCCTCTATCCTCAGCCTCGGTTTCTTATCAGGAAGATTTTGTTCAGGTGTCAATGGCGGATGGATTGTTCTTGTATATTCTTTATGTAGCAAATAATGATGTCTCTTCTTACAACCATTAGTACTGCATTGCTTCTTCGATTTGCATTAATTTTTTCTGTGGTTGTTTTTCAGACAACCAAAACATGCTTTTGCTTCCACAATTTTTTTGTATGCATCGTCTACATTATCATTGAGTACTTAAGCACATTTGGATACTTCGTGATAGGCTTTTTTACAATAATAACATAACATGCAATATGCAACACGCATAACATTTCCATGTTTCAGCGAGTACTTTCTTGGAACAAAGCTTATCTTGATTTTTGGATTATGGATACAACATGCAGCTGAAACGATATTATTGCACCTTTTTGCAAAATCTTCTATGGTTACTCCATTTTTTTTTCATCTTTAACTATTTGTCCCCATTGCAGCCTTAAATTAACTGGAATCTCATATTGTTTCAGGATAAACGGATAATTCATGTTATTTTTAGCTTCAAGTTGCTCCAAAGTTACAAAAAAAATATTTATTTGGCATGATAATTTGATTAAACTGTCAAAATCTCCTTCTTTTACTGCTAGAAATTTTTGCAGTTTATTTGTCAAAGCCTCTTTTACATATTCTGGTGTTCCAAATCTCATTTCCAGGGTTTGAATCATTAAATTAACATTTTTTGAATGAGGCATCATTCCTCTCACCATTTTCAATGCTTCTCCTTTTAGACACCTTTGTAATTTCACCCATTTTCTCATCTATTTATTTATTTATTTACGTAAAACATAGGTACATTTGAAGTGGTACAAAGTTTAAATCTAAAAATCTAACTTAAAACAATTGTCTTGGCTATTTTTAGTTTTGTGTGTTTATCCCGAGATAAACTGAAAAAGTCAAAACCCTCATAGAAGTTATTAACATTGGCAGATATTCTATTAACAGGACTAAATAGTAAGTACCAAGTACGACAGTAAGGAATGTACAGTAAAGAATAACTTCGTGTCCGATAACTTTGAGTGTGTAGATGAAAGGATCCAAGACATTCGTGGCATTTTATATAGTAGTTGAGGATATTGAAAACAAAAGACATCAAAGTATTCCCTTCTGCGAACAAGAGTCGTTAAGTCTAAGAAAGTCATAGTCTGGTCAACGCTGAAAATGACACCACTCAGAGACACAAACACAAATTTGTGTTGAATACTCTCAAGCCTATTGATGTGGATCTGATATTAAGGTGACTATGCAAGAAAATTCAAGAACGGATCTGACCAGTGATGTATAAAGAATTTTGGTGGAGCGTATACTTGTGAAGTCCTTAGGAGCTCTCTTAATAAAAACCCAACATTCTATTAGCCCTGCCGATTACCACTTCAAAATGCTTGGTGAACACTAGTATCTAGATAGACACCAAGATCTTTGATGACAGAAACTTTAGACAAGCGAACATCACCTAAGCAAGCAATACTGGAAGGGAACCTTACAGGTGAGTCTACTGAATCTTATACAACAACACTTATCAATGTTGAGGAACATGTCATTAAGCTGACACTAATCATAAACAATGTTAAGAGCTTTCCTTGGGGTACCCCAGAGGGTGCATGGAAAAGAGAAGAAAGATAGCTATCGATCTTGACTTGTTGAATTCTTTTAGTAAGGTAAGATTTCATCCATGACAGTAAGGGTCCAGAAACACCATAACAAGCATGAATTAGCTACACCTGAGATATAAATGATAAATAAAGTTTCACGAACCAATACCAAAAGCTTTCCAGAACCAATACAACTTGATAATGGCAAAACTGCAGTTTGAAGACAACTTCATACAGAAATCGTACTGAAAATAAATTAAAATTAAACTTACTTTTCTCGGAATGATTATTATTATCCTGGATTCCAGCGGCGGTCCCTTGAGTGTCCCCAGCGAGGGGTTCCCGTTTGACTTGCGGTTCGCATGTGGGTAAATTGGGCGAAAGGTCTCGTGAAGGGTCGTAGGCCGAACCGAAGTACTGATGCTCGTTCTGCTGCTAAAATTAACAGAATTTTTTTATTATGTAATATATAATTTCTGTTTGACTTTGTGACCCTGCTCGGGGCCCTATCCCATAATAATAAACGACATAATAATACCTATTTTGTATTTCCCTGTAAAACTTATACAAGTATAGTTTTAAGAAGAGCCCATAATAACCGATAATTTTATTCTACGAAGACTGAGGAGAGTTCTTATTTAAATGTGTGTGTCTCTTTGAAAAAGTCGTCGGACTTATCTAAAGATTCCATCTTGGCATTAATAAATTTAACCGTCGAGAAATTTATGCAAATAAAAATCTGTTTCAAACACCTTTTTGACTACAAAACATTTCATATTGCGGGGCGATTATGTGAGTGAAATGACAGGTGACAAGGTATGCATATTAAAAACGAGTTTTAATAAATAGTCGAGTGGAAATTTAAAAATGTTACACTTTCGATTTGGTATTGGCGATTTTGGGAGCAGATAGTGAGCAATAGTTTTAGATTATAATATCTTGTTGATTATGTAATTTGGTGTTCGATTTTGCTCAATTTTGTAGAAGAGAGATTCAATGAACCGCGACCCTGCTGTTTGACTTCAGAATAGGAGAGAATTTTACTTGCTCCCACAGCTTCATTGTACCTTTAAATTACAATTCTGCTTCACAACTTCATTGTAAGGGAGATTTTTTTCTATATAAAGCCATTTTCAATTGTAGAACATTATATCAGAATCTACTCCTTTTCCATTTGTTACGTTCTTCTAATTCTTCTTTATCAAGGGCAGTTGCATTTTTTGCTGTCAACTCTAACTATGAACACTTTCTATTGTAAATCACACCTTCATAAAGCATGTTACTCCAACAACGTACCAAGGCCGACTTTCACTAGTCTTCAGCTTGGTGATACTTGATTTGTTAAACAGATGTCCATGGTTTGGAGAGAAATCTTAGACTAGAAAACCTGAGACTTTTTGGCTGTGTTGCAATATCCTCATTCACCAAAAATCAAGAATTCAACAGTCAGAGGAAAGAATGTTCATCATGGGCTAGTGTTCTAAGAACGGTATTACATATTATGGTGTCCTAGTGAGGTGAAAATCCATACAGGTGATAGTTGCAGATTTGAAGAGAATTTGTTCAATATGGGCAAGCCGAAATCATATTTCCTCACAAATTCAGAAGGAAAAGAAGAAGTCTCTCTACCATTTTGTATAACCATAGATTGATCTTTGGGTTGTCAACAGATCTTTCCACATCTTGCATCTTTCCTTTTACAGGAAAATATTAGCCTTCTGGATAACTTTGTTGAGGTATGGACCCCAGGTCATCGTTTGGTCAAACATTACTTCCAGATATTTGACCTCTTTTGAGAAGGGAATATCATCAACCAATCAATTAATCAATTCTCATTCATAAACGATCATAGACTCCTCCGGGCAAAACTAGATTAGAGTAAAATCAGAACTGGACATAGAAAAGTTGAAACAAAAACGAATACAGGGGTAGGAAGAAGCACAGAAAAGAATAAACGGGAGAACGCTTTATCTCTTCAAAAACAAAAGATCTAGGGAATGGAAGAATAAGATCAAAGGAACAACAGCTTCATTGGAAGCTGTTCAATTTGTTGGAAGAACAACTTAGCTTCCAAAATAGGTTACTAAACGCGGGAGAAATTTTGGGAGAAGCCAATTGAAAAAGAGCTTCAATTACCAACAATATACGTTTACAAGGTACCAACAACCTCTATAGTTTTATCCCACACATTCACAGTTCACCATCAAAAACGATTGGAAACTTTTGAAATATCAGCCTTATTGCTGGCCCGGTCTCAGGTGTCTTCACCTCTTTTCTCAACTCGCCGCAACATTCAATAGAAACCCGCTCCAACACAAAATCCGCTAATACATATTATAAATCGAGATAAATCCCACCGAGAAATCACCCCCTGTATAATTATTTTCTAAGGTAAAAGATCTATCCTGGGCATAATTGTATTGTGCGACCTAAACAAACACGAACGGCGGTACCACTGCCGTTTCATAACGTAATGAGTGCCGGGCTGGTCGTACGGGTCGTGCAGTCGTGAGACTGATAGCTGTCAGGGCGAGTGTGCCCCCTGGGGGGCAAAAGGGGCATACCTAGTATACCCGATGTTCTGTGCACCGGGGTCACGACCCGGTACTCTGGTATTGAATTGATCTTGATCTGTGTGTGGCATTACAGCAGTTTGGGGATCAATTCGGATAGCAAAAGCGCCTCGTAAATCATAATTTATGCATTGGAAGGAATTTTATTCGTCGCAGGTTACAAAACATTTTTTATCGGTTAATAACTAGCCGGAGCAACGTTGCCTCATGCCGCGCGACATTTTGCTCCCATTTTTTATCTTATTTATTGACACTATAAAGAAGCCGACTTCATGGCGTAAGTGCATATATTTCTTCTGTCCGAACTCTCTTATAATATACAGGATGGATATGAAAGGGGAACACGTTATAAGTAACAGATAGTAAGCCGCGGGTATATAAATAATTTCGTCTTATGTGTGTCAATAAATTTTAAGTATCAGAGACTTTTTTTTCAATGTGAACCTACGTAGAATGATTTTTGGTAGACTTTTATAACCCCTGGTTCATTTTGAACCGATTATGGAAAGTATTGCTATTCTTTATTTAGGCTCACAATCAAAGCAAATACTTATTTTTATTGTATTTTTATCTATTTATTTATTTATAGAGGAATTAAATGCCCATTCTTAAAAAAAATACTTTCACAATTCGCACATAAGCAATAATAAATAATAAGTAGGTACTACAATCAAATGAAATGTTTAAAAAAGTAAAAATTGAGAATAAACTACTTGGGTACAGGCCCTATGTGACCTAGAATAGTTGCCTCTAGATTCAAGAACTATTTTTCAGGACCAAATAAATCTAAATGAGGATAACCAAATGCCATGCTTCTAGAAAAAAAAACGGTACGGTGAAAAAGCACATGATGGAATAGTAATCGTTTAAGGGCATTAGCTTGAGGAACATTCAGATGAATTATCTGTCTTGTGAGGGAAGGATGACCAATTAACAAAGTGGGTGATTATGAAGACTAGGTGAAGGTCATGGCGATTTCTTATAGTTTATATTGAACGAAGATTTAGTCTTTGATGAATACTTTCATAAATAATTTTTTAATAATTTAAAACTTATATACCGGTAGCACTATTTCTGTACTCCTTCGATTCTTAACATATGCGTCTAGCAGTTTCAGATAGATGGTCTCTATGTGGTCATATGATCAATAAAGGAAAGTTCAGTATCAAGTATTACACGTAGGTCAGTCATGGATTCAGTTATTTTGAGGATTTTTTCTTTGATGATATTATGGGTCTACGTCAATTCGTCGTAAGTCAATTCGTCTTACGTCAATTCGCTGTAAAGTTTATACGCCATAAAGTCAATTCGTCGTATACGTCAATTCGCCGTAAAGCCAATTCGTCGTATACGTCAATTCGTCGTATTGTTGATTCGTCGTATAGGTAATTCGTGGTAGGTATTTCAGGTATAATGTTAAAATGTATAAATTAAAACTTTTTCGTTTAATCGTTTAAGTAAATTATTAAAACGGCAATTCGTCGTATACGTCAATTCATCGTATTGCCAATTCGTCGTATTTCAGGTATAATACATGGATTTTCACTTTTTCTGTTCAATCAGACATTACCAAACTTACCGATAATACCCCGGTTAGTTTGAGTTAGTTTGCAATTTTAATCTAACCCGAAGTGACTGGGCTATTATCGGTAAGTTTGATAATGTCTGATTAAACTTTGAGAACTAATAACACGTTGGCTACCACATGAGGCACCATTGATGCATAAGATTCAGTTGCTTTTATAACGGCAAGGATGTTTGACGCAATTTACCCCCAATACGAGCTTGTCAACGTTACTTCAGGACAAATTGACTTTACGACGAATTGAATTGATGTATACGTCGAATTAACGCTAAGACGAATTGACGGAATGACTACGACGAATTGACGTATACGACGAATTGACTTCACGACGAATAAGCGTACGACGAATTGGCGTACGACAAAATGATTTACGAAGAATTGACGGTGACCCTCTCCCCCGCGCAAAATCACCTGTTGTGACGTAGGCAGCATGTTATTTCTCGCCTTGACATAGGCTGTTTAAACAGCTGACCACCATGGCTGCACTTAGTTATGAGGTCGGAAATGGTGACACACCAATATGGCGGCGATTACCAAAAACGAGGCAGATAAGCAGTCCTGTAGGTGTGTATGATCCTTGGGATAGAATGTGATATTTACCTCTTGTTCCGTTTTCACCGCAAATATACTTTGAAAGCCGAAGCCGAAGAAAAATTGAAAAATTATCACCTAAACCTAACAAACAAATGTCAGAGAAGTGAGAAGAAACCGAAACAACAAAAGCTTTATGATTGGTAGATTCGGTTGAAAGTTGGGACCGAAATTTTCAGGAACCGCGTTTCATAACTTAACCAGATTTCAGGACTGAGTTTTAACTGACACAACGCGCACAACACCATCATTTCCTGGATAAAGAGCACTGACACGATCTAATTTCCATTCAAATGGCGGCAAATGGTTGTCCTTCACTATGACCATTGTCCCTATCTGGACATTTGGTTGGTTCTTCTTCCATGTTATTCTATTTTGCAAATTACAACAAATATATTCTTTGCTCTATCTATACCAGAATAGTTGTTTTAGAAGTTCTAATTTTTCAAAATTGGACTACCTACTCACAGAGGTATCTTGCAAATCAAGATGAGCAATTGATTGGAGTGCCAACAATATTTTGTTTTTCATAATGCTGATTTATGCTGCGTTTGAAAGGGTACTTGCATGGAAAATTAAATTGATTATTAAGGATTGTATGTGGTCCATTTTTTGGGCAGATGATAGGTTTGAAGAAAAATAGTCTTGAAAATCCCAAAAATTCTTTATTTATGTACTACCGGTTT